ATAGCCTAGAGCAGTTTTTAAAAAATGTTAATAGATAATTTTTTTATTCTTTCAATATCTGAAGATATTGGAAGCAAGAGTGAAATCATTGTTGAAGGAATGAAAAGGAGTTGGAAATTGAGTTTTGCAAAGGTGTTTCCACAATTTTGCAAGAGGCTATATAGGTAGGATTTCAGGCTATATTCCTGAATCAGATTCCTGTGAGTGCTCTGTGTTAGTTATATTTACAAGTATTTTCCCAGTCTCTATGCATAAATGCAATACTTGTTTTGTAATCAATTTAGTTCAGCAACAGTGTTCTTATCAATTAACATTTTTTTTGTTCTATAATATTTGCATCATGAATTGACTGGGGACAAAATTTTTTTCATTTCCTTATTCAGGTCTTTCATTTACTGCTTTTACAGTTCTTTTTTATCTGCAAAAGGTTAACACACTATTGTACCAAATTGCTTGAGTTTCCAGATATCATAGTTAATTACAACACTCAGAAAGGACTTCAAAAAGAGACAGGGAGACAGAGGACACATTAATTGGGACATAGTATCACAATTAATATTTTTCTAAAAACTACCATCAAAGTAGCTGCAGATACCAAAACACAATTAAAATTCTCTAGAAGGTATGATGGACTTTTTACTGCACAGTGACATGGGGTTGTTAAAAGCTGGATGCAGAAAGAAGACTACCAGGTGTATGAGAAAAGATCTTTAGTATGTGCAGGGAGACAATCTCTTACCAGTATAAGTGTTTGTGCACAAAGCGAGTGGGGAGCTTATGGGACTTCTAAACAAAGTTACTCTATATTTATTTTTTATTGCTGAGATTGTTCATCTCCTGGCCCTTGGTAAGGATTGTTTGAAAAAGTTCAGTATTTGATTTAAATGCGATGATTATTTTGGATAGTTTTACTACAAAATCATCACGTACGTTCAAGTTCTCAGAGAAAAATGCCCAGTTATTGTCTCTTCTCTGGGCCTTTATATTTCTATTTTCAAATAGTCTGACACCAGATTTTAGTTTCTTATTCTTCCTTAGGGTTCAATTCATTGCTCTTCAAAGTATTTCATTGCTCTTCAGAAGTCAAACAAAAAGAAAAAATATTGCTAAAGATTGCTGTCTCTTTGCTAACATTTATGTTACTTTTCTCTAATTATTTCTCTATAGAGCTTTCCCAAGAATCACAGGGCATTGAAAGAAAATCCACAGCTCAAATGATGGAGAATTTACTTCGTATGTACTCTTAGGCAGCCACATGAGATTTTTGGCATTTCATTCAGACTTGTCCGTGATTAGTTTTTTGTGTCCTCTTCATATTGTTTCATTCCCATTAACATCCATACTAGTGACTTACCATCAGTCATGTCCCTGACTCCTTTGTGCTGCTTTGCTAAGATTCTACCTCATTAAAAAGTCAGCACTTTGTCTCTTTTCTGGGCTATAGATCCTTCCTACTCCTTCTATCCACTGAAATTCCTTTCTTCTTCATATTGGCAGCCTGCTAGTAAATTGCATTGTTTCTGCATTAACTCCTGTCTGGTTCTATATGAATGTCAAGAACTGTGAAGGCTCTGAGTTTTTACTCTATTTACAAGCTAACAAATTATCCTAACACAATTTATTGGATATTCATAGTGCTTTACATTTATTACTGTCGTTCATACTATTCATTTAAGTTGGGTCATTTCATTTGAGGTCAGTCACTGGGATAGGGCCTCAGATTCCGAGCTCCAAACAGAAAAGATACACGTGTTCCCTGGCATTTTGTATGCTTTGCTTTAACTTCCTTTCCGTTGGTTAATTTGGAGAGGACTGTTAATGTGATAGTACATTTTGTCTTCATAAATCAACTCCCTTCTTAGCACGAGGGTTGCCGCTCTTGCTGAAATATTTGCCATATATTCCACTACTACTAGGATGATTAATACAAGGGGCATATAATCAATAAATGCTCTTTTCATCCTCCCTAAAACCACATCCTTAACCCTTCTGTTTTCATCATTGTATTTGTAGGCACCCATATTGGTAATATATGAAGCCCAGAATACATATTATACCTCTTATTTTCTTCCTAGATAACCTACAACTTGGATTTCTGAATGTCGGGACACTAATTCTATTTCCTAAACATCGTCAAAAACTGCCATGGTAATAAACCCAAACCCAGGCTCTCTTGTCCACAGAGTATAACAAAGCTGTGGCCTATGAATCTGACATCTGAATTGTTGTGTTATTTTATCTGGTGTCTCTTTCTTCCGGCTCTACTTCTCACAGTACTCCAAACTACCTCCAGCTTCAGTGTTTGGCTGTATTATTGGGCTGTAATTGGTACTGTATTATGGTACTGTATTATGCCCTGTTTACAGACAAGAAAAGGAAGGCACAAGAGGGTAGTTAACTTCTCTAAGGTCATAAAGTTAGTAATGAGAGAGCTGGATTTCAACCCATAGCCGTCTGCCTGTATAGTCTGTATTCATGACTGGCTCACTTTCCTGCCTCTTCAACTTACTGGCATATGAGAGTTAATAGGTAATAGATGTTGTTACAGATTCATACGAGGGGTAATAGAATTAGAGTTTGTGGAGGAGTAAGTTTCAGCTGATGAAATAGGGAATAGGTTTGAATATGTGGAGAGTAGAGAGCATTTCAAGGAGGACAAAATGAGCAAAGGTTCAAAGATGAGACTAAAAAGAATATGTTCAGAGGATATGGAAGAGATTGACTTGGCTCTAGGGAACTAAGAGCTAATGAACTTGATTTGTACTGAAGTTTATCCATTAGAACTTTATTGGAAAAAAACAGATTTTCCTCAAAGTTTTTAGGTTATGTTATTTTATTTTTTTAAAAGATTTTATTTATTTATTTGACACACAGAGAGAGACAGCTAGAGAGGGAACACAAGCAGGGGGAGTGGGAGAAGGAGAAGCAGGCTCCTGGCTGAGCAGGGAGCCCGATGCGGGGCTTGATCCCAGGACCCTGGGATCATGACCTGAGCCGAAGCCAGATGCTTAACGACTGAGCCACCCAGGCGCCACTAATTAAGTTATTTAAAAAAAATACTTATCTCATTCATTGGGAATACTGCTTCAGGTTTCAGATGGAAGTACATTTGTAAGGAAATAATAGAATAAAATTCTGCCTTAGACTTTTTTCTTAATCTGTTCATTTTCTTGAGCTAGTTCTGTCCACACCAGCATAATTTGGTTAGTTTAACTTGTGATGAAATTGGTCCAGCAGGAGGAATTGGATGTATGTTGAAATTCTGCCAGATTTGGAAGAAAAATGTTATTTTAAGCATTCTAGTCATTTTTGGTGGAGTGTAGGTCTTACCATGAAGTTGTCATTGGCAACTTTTCAGACCACTAAACATGGCTTCCTTATTTACAAAAACCACAAACACACACACACACCCACACACCCCAAACACTACAAATAATGTGAAAACAAGTAACTCTGTCAAAGAGATGTCATGCTTACATAGCCTAGTAAAAATAAGTTGACTGAGATGGGAAGCTGATACCTTTCCTAAGTTTGGTGAATGAAGAAATCTTGAATTCTTCTCTGAGATTTGTAACTAATTATAATATGTATATATGTAAATATGTATATATGTAAATCACTCACCAATATATGTATATTCATTCATTTGATCTATTTACAAATTAGAATAGCTGGAAAGATCAGGGAGATAAGCTGACCCCAAAGGTTAGGAACTGAAGAAGTGTGGGTGGTATGGATTGGTATGGGCGCAGCCAAGTGGGAGTTTCTCTATGGAATCCTTTGCTTTGACTTGTGTGAATAAGCAGCTTGTGATGACATTAGGAATTTTAATTTCCTTTTCCAGACTAGAGAAGCATATGCCCTTATAATATTCTATTTAAGACCCTGGATTTGCAGTTATTCAGTAACTTTTAAAAAATCATCAAAAATGACATTAAAGATTTTTTTTTCCAAGCTAAATTTTTATAAATGTAATGTCATTTCATATAGTGCCTTACCTACTCAGAAGTTTAATTTGTACTAGATTCTGGAGGGACTTGTTAAACCTAGGTTTGTAGCTATTTTGGAATTGGGGCTATTTCTAAACTGTGTACAAGGTTTTACTTCATCTGCAGTTGACTTTACTTGTTTTTTAAATGCTCACAAGGTCCTGTGTTGGTACTGTGTCAAACCATTGTTGAAAATACTTTCTTGATAAAATGAGTGTAAACAATAGCAAAAACCAAATTCGAGCTGACCTTTAAATACATCTACATTTAAAGGCTAAAGCCAAGGACTTCTAAATATTTTCATCCAAAGAACTCTTTGAAATGTAGCTAAAGGAAAGTTTATTTTCTAGATCTTAAAACTTAGGAAAGAGATTCAAACTGTGATTGGTTTTAGCCCACTGATCAGGATGACTGTGGCCACTTTCTCATCTAGGATTTATTATTCATCCTTTCTTTACCTTAAAGTTTCAACTCTCCATGAATTCTTTCCTGGGAAGAACATATTAGCTTATGATTCCAGCTCCAGCACAATTTTGGCTGACCTGTATAAGTGACCACAGTAAACCATTTGAGTCTTAGGCTTTTGCTGCTGTACAATGAGACTCTTCATTATTTAACATGTTGCCATTTCCAGCGTGTGCTCTCAGTGCCATGTAGGTAAGCCTAGGCCTTTGAGCTCTCTAGTCCAGCAAAACTGAGTAGTATACAGGGTCCCCCCCTCCCATATTAGAGTGTAGGGTAGGAGGGCTAGAAGATAAGGAGTACTGGCAAGGACATTGAGAATGTTAGCTTTATAATTATGAGTGATGTATAGTTTTACATACTTGACTGCCTATATTTCCCATCTTAAATAAATGGGTCAGCAGGTGAATTTGAACCAGAATTCATTTTTTTTTCCCATCCTTACAAAATTGTCATGAACATTTATTAGGAAAAATAAAATAGCATTCATTTTATTAAGAAGGCATTAAATCTTAGTCACTAATGTCTCTTCCCTTCTTTCGTTTATAGATGATGCATGTAACTGCTCTGTGGTGGGAAGCCTGGACGTGAATCGCTGCAACCAAACCACAGGGCAATGTGAGTGTTGGCCACCTTATCAAGGGCTCCGCTGTGACACCTGCAGGGACAGTTTTTACCTGAATCACACTTCTGGGCTTTGTCTGCCGTGTGACTGTAGTCCACATGGAGCCCTCAGCGTGCTCTGCAGCAGGTAAGCAGCAGTGGGTGGAGGTGATGCTATTTTATCAAGAAAAAGAAAAGGCTCTTGCTCTCAAGGACCAGAGTGTTTTAAATAAAGGGAGAAGAGGGGGCATAGATTTATAAAATATTTCATATACTTTTATTTTCTCACTTTGTGCATTTAATATCAAAATTAAAAAGCATCTAATTTACTGATCTAGTTCTTCAAAAGGACCTGGGTCACCAATTTTGCTTTGTGATAATTTCTCTAAATTTCATGGAAAAAAATTATTGAGAAAGCAGTCTCCTTTCTGGAAGTGATAACTTCCTGGCATTTCCAGTGGAAACGTTCTTATTAAGTTTATTCACATTTTCAGGAAACTTACTCTTTGCTTTATTTTTTCTCTTATCCAAATGCCAGAACTGTTTCTTTGCACATCTAAGGCTTAAAGTTGATAATATCCTAATTTCTCTAACTAGTGGGGAAAGACTGGTTTCACCAGCACATTTTGGGGGACCAAAACTTGACTAAGTAGGAATTATCTGGAAATGACCTTTAAAATATTATGTTATTTGGAGGCAACTTAATGTAGTAGAACAGTGCCCCACCATCTGAGGATATGCCTTCTATTACATTGAAAGTAATTATTCTTTGACCTTGTATGAGGCACCTAGCTTTTTGTGAAACCCAAATCAAAAAGCTGAAGAGACAGTGTTATGTAATGAAAAGAACATAAGCTTTACAATCAGCCTAACCTGGGTATAGATCCAAGATCCGTTTCCACTTAGGAGCTTTGTGCTTTCAGCAAGTTATTTCATTTTTCTGAGCCTCAGTTTCTTCTCAAAGTTGTTGTGAAGGTTAAATGGATAGATACATGTAAAATGCCTAGCACACATCACACAATACATTCTGGGTTGTTTTAATTTCAAAGGAATACTGTTGGCTTAAATGAGGGAATAGTTTTAAAGAACTCTTAGCTCCTTGGTAGAAGTTTCTTTAAACTCAGCCATAGTTATCTTGGATGCTTTATAAATCATACTGTACACATGATATGCAATATTGTATCATATTATACCTCTATTAAAAATATGGATGTGAACTGGATTAACAAGTTTATAATTTTGGGCATCTAGGTGGCTCAGTCGGTTAAGTGTCTGCCTTTGGCTCAGGTCATGATCCCTGGGTCCTGGGATGGAGTCCCGCATCGCATCTGGCTCCCTGCTCAGTGGGGAGTCTGCTTCTCCCTCTCCCTCTGCACTTCCCCGCTGCTCATGCTCTCTCCCTCTCTAACTCTTGCTCTCTCTCAAATAAATAAATAAAATCTTAAAAAAGAAAGAGAAGTTTATAATTTCAAATGCAACAATAATCAATGCTTATGATGGTTGGTATTTTAAAATAGTTATTTGTTTTAATCTTTGAAACTCTTTTTATGTGGGTTTTTAAATCACAGGGATACTAAGTGGCGGAGAAAGAATTCTCAGGATTCCAAGCCCAGTGTCCCTATCACCATGTCATGCAGCTTCTATAATGAGAAAACTGATAATCATTCTATTATTTGAGGTTGAGAATATAGTAGTTACTTATCATTGCTCCCTTTGCTCCCTAAAAACATGCCCGCACAAGTCATACTTAGAAGGTTCAACTTTCTTACCATTTTAAAAGATGAGATTTGGGTAAGTTTGTTCATTCTCATATCCAATGGCATGACTACTACTTCCTTTAGAATGAGATTCTGCAAAAAAATTTTTCCCTGAGCACTTTGGAGAGATAAAACAATGTTTACTTCCAGGCCAAACTGCTTTGTTAGAGGAGAAAGAAATAAGGGGAGCATTGAGAGAGAGTTTTAAAAGCTGGAGAGGAGGGAAAAACAGTAATTCTAAAATTCATGTAATATCTTACTGTTTCCATTGATCTTTTACAAATTATTTCTTTTTTAAAAAAGATTTATTTATTTAATTTAGAGACACAGAGAGAGAGAGGTGGCATGTGAGTGGGGGGAGCGGCAGAGGGAAAGAATCTTTAAGCAGACTCTCTGCTGAGCGCAGAGCCCGAGAAAGGGCTCTATCGATCCCAAGACCCATGAGATTGTGACTGAGCTGAAACCAAGAGTCGGTTCTTTAAGCTACTGAGCCACCCAGGTGGCCCTATAAATTATTTCTGATTCTCCCCCCTCCCCCCCCGCCGGACAGTTAGTGCCATTAAGTGACATGGGCTAAACACTGTTCTGAAAATAGGTCGTAACTAGAGAGTAGTGGAAAAGTGCATTGGACTAGTAACTCAAAGATCCAGGGTGGGGGTCTGTAAACTACAGTCATGAACCAAATCCAGCCCGCTGCCTGCTTTTGTAAATAAAGTGTCCTGGGACACAGGTGCACTCACTTGTTTACGTATCATCTGTGACTGCTTTTGCGCTGCTGTGGCAGAGCTGACTCGTTGCAACAGAGACTGTGTGGCCTGCAAACCTAAAATATTTACTGTCTGTCTCTTTAAGAAAATGTTTGCCAACCCCTGGTTTAGGGTTCCAATCCTGGTAGATATTGCCAGGTAACCACGTAGCTTTGGGAAAGTCACTTTACTTTTTTTAAGCATTTATCTTTTAATCTGTGAAGTGGTGATAATAATCCATGTCCTGTTTCTCTCCTGTATAAAGTTGTTTTGTCTTAAGGATCAAACAAGAAAATGCATTGTAAATTTTTACAATCTACACTTTCTAGATATACAGTAAAAATAATACTAGAAACCATTTTTTGAGCATGTACTGTATGCTAGGTCACTTATGTTCAGTATCTCATTTAATTTTCAAAAAACTCCCTTGAGGAGAGCACTGTTATTTTCCCACTTTGAATATGAGAATTTTGATGTTTAGGGGGTATAGTTAACTTGCGTAAGCTTACACACTAAAGCTACCATTCAATCCAGTTGAACAAATGTAATAAGCAAGTGCTTATTCTGTGAAACAGAATGACTTCATAATTACACAGTTGTTTTTCCTAGTAGAAAGGCTCTTGGTATTTAACACCCAAATATCCTAGAATGTTCTTATCTCTCAATTCAATGTGTTTTGGCTGATGGTTCTTTAAGAAAAATTTGTATTTATATCCCGGAAACTCAATAATGCCATATACAATGTTTTAAACAAAGTAACATGTGGGAAGTCTTGTGTTAAATTCCAGATAAAATCGGTATAATGTCAGAATCCCATGTAAACAATCTGTAAATTGTACCACATGTCAACGAAGAGGATGTGCAGCATGTTACTGCATATAAGGCCCCTGGCAACAACCATGGAAATTGCTTTGGATCAGGAAGGGTTGTTGTAAGCGTTTTACATCCTAACATGGGAGTTTGGTACTTATTTATAGGTGCTTTACTGTGTTTTAGTTACAGTCTAGAAAGTTGGTTAGTAGTTTTGGGTTGATATGTAATGAATTATAATTATTTTCATTTGAAATATTGGAAAATAGGTTCTTTGTTGGCATTTCATGTAGAATATATGATTTTCAGTAATGGATGATTGATGTTAAGCAGGAGGGAGAAGATGCCTGTATTATGATGACGATGATGATGATTACTATTACTTGATCTATATGGACTGTTTTCTCTGCATACCTGACGGGTTCTATTATCCTTAGTAGGTCTTTTTTTTTTGATAAGTAACGTGTAATTTTATAATATCTGCATATAGTCAAAGTATGTTGATTTCTCACATCCTTTACCATCATCTAATTGACATCTGGAAGGACCTTGCTTCCCCTGCAGCCCTTAAAAGTGATATCTGTTTTCTCTCTCTCTTGTTCCTCTTATCTCTGGACCTGGAGCTGGAATAGATAATCTTCCTTGTTCCTGATTGCCACTTGCAGAGTTCTCTCCCTTCTCCCTTTCTAAAAACCCTGCCTCCGAAGCTCACAGCAGCAGAGCATGCTGTTCTACCTCCGTGTTGCTGTTCCCCTACCAGGCACTACCCCTGATTTCTTATACACAGCTCACTGTTGTCTCTCCACCATGACATCTGTCAAAATCCTGGATGATTTCATATCTGTAGATGATCTCAATGGTTTGGCCTTTCAGTTTCTTGACCTCTCTTCCAATAAACCTTCCTCCTTGCTCCCGCCAAGCTTTATTTGTTTTATTTGCCCTATTTCTTGATTGTCTGTGGCCCCAAAGATAGGTATATTAATTTTTTTGAGATAAATGCATAATCCTTTTCTATGGGTTGCTACAGAGTAATATTTAATTTAAAAAATTTTAACAGTGTTATTTCAGAATGTCAGGCAATTTGTCAGAACAAACAGCACATCACTGAAATCCTTTAAAAACCTGGACTCAAAGGAAGTCTTTAGAAGGAAGGTTCAGGAGCTCTAAATCCAGCTGTAAACACTGCATTTCTCGCTACCAGAAAGGAAGTTAAATTGACACAAGACCAGAACAGAAATGGGAAGTTGCAGGACTATGTACTTTGGCAAGAACATATGGGTGAACTATGAGGAAACACCTCTGTGTTCTGCTCTGCTATAAATTATATATGAGTTAAGGAAAAAGGAAATTGTAGGCAAGTAGTGTATGTGTAGTAGAAAGGAAGTGGAATCTGAAATTAGTGACTTTGATTCTATTCTTGGTTTAGCCACTTACTAACTGTATGACCTTCATTAAGATATCTGACCTCTCTGAGCCTCAGTGTTTCATATGTAAAATAATATATGTGACATGAAGGATTTTTGTGAGACTTAAATTGTGTGTGTGTATGTCCACTTACATTGTGACTGGCACATAGATTCAGCTCAATAACTTCCTAGAGGATGAATCTATTTTTTTTTAAAACATGAGGAATAGAATTGGTAACTCACCAAAGAGGAGGATTAAATCCACCTGTGTTGTGCATGAGGAAGGATTGGGGTATTTGTTTTTGTTGATAGGCTAAAGAAGAAATTGTTCATTCTAACAGGAAAAAAATTTAAATTATTTTCCTCCATTTTCACAAACATATTAAACCTCTTAAAATTGGACAATCTATATTTTCTTTCTTTCTTTTT